CGACCCAGCTCAGTGGCCATTAGCTAGCTTGAACTCCCAGATTCCATAAAAATAAATACATTGGGAGTAGACAAAGAATCCACTCAGACCCTGAATATTATATATACTGTACATATCCATGCTTCTGCCTTTCCTGGATATTGCATTAGTTCATGTTGCCATATGACAGTTGTGCTTGATGTCTATTGCTGTCTACATTATCATTTTATGCTTGTTGGTGGGGGGGTGATGATGTTGATATGAGTTTAATTTCTTCTTGATCATGTCTTTGTTTGATAATCTCCTCAAATTTTGTCAGTTTTCTAATCTCTCCTTTTCTTATTGACTCTCGAGTCTGATTTTCCATTTGAAGAATATTTAACCAAGATATTCCCTCTTTTTCCCCAAAAATTTCCCTTATAGTATTTTTATCTTTTATCTTTTTCATCCAACTCTTTATTGTGTTTAACCCTTCTTTAAGTTTATCATTTAGTTTATCATTCATCTTTAAGAGTTTTGGGGAAGCGCTGCAACTCCACTACTTGTGATAATTGTGAGATAGGTGGATTCAGTCTAAAGTATTCCAGCACTCTGCCATATTCACCAGAAAAGGGTTAGTTATTCCTCCATATCAAGGTATTCTAGCACTTCCAGTTCCTTCCATATTAAGTTTCTATTATGTACTATAATATCTTATAGATGCCTAAATTGATTTGCAATGTAGTATATTTTAATAATCCAAGCTCTCCTTTTTGTGGAATATACCATGACCTCTTATTAATCCTTGTTTGCTTATTTCTATTACAATAATTATTAACTTCTGCCAGTCTTTCAAGTATATTTTTCTGATCTTTACTGGGAGCATTCAGAATACAAAGTTAATTTTAGTAATAATCTTCATTTTACATAACGCTATTCTACAAAACCAATATAGTTATAATTTTTTATACTGGTTTATCTGTTTATTAATTTCTTTCTTCAGTTTATCCACATATAATTTAATTATATCCACATATAATTTAATTATATCCTCTCTAGTATCTATGTCTTTAATTAAACAATCATTTCTGATTACTTGTGGCAGCACCTATATTACCAATGTGAATAGAACTGGAGATAAGGGGCAACCTTGTCTAGTTCCTTGGCCTAGGAGTATTGATTCAGTCATACCATCGTTTTATTATTATTTTTAGAGTTCTATGAACATACTTGTTAAATTATTCTTCTAAACCCATATCAACTCCTATCTGTTTAATCAAGATTTTAGTGCATCCCATTCAACCGTATCAAATGTTTTGAAAATGTCTAGGGATACCACTCCTCCTTTACATTTTGATTCTTTTGCCAGGTGCATTAAATTAAGCACCTTTCTCATTATGTCTGACATCTGTCTACTTTGTAAGAATCCATTTTGGTCTTTCTCAATATATTTCCCAATGAAACTATTGCCTGGCTCCGTTCCTTCTTGGAGGACTGTCCCCAGAGAGTACAGCTTGGGGAGAATGTCTCAGCCCTGTGGAGCCTCAACTGTGGGGTTCCGCAGGGCTCCATCATCTCTCTGTTATCTACATGATGAGCTAAAATAGGAATTGAGTCTTTCTGCCTTTTCTTTGTCTTCTGTTATCATTTTTCCATCTTCATTGAGTAGCTGAGATACTTTTCTAGAATCTCCCACCCTTCTTGGGCTCCTTTTGTTTTTAGGAACTCCTGTAATGGGACTTTACATGTTGTGAGTTCATTAAAATTGGTTTTTTTTTTTAAAAAAAATCCAGCATACAGTGGTGCCTTGACTTACGACCATAATCCATTCCAGAAGATGGACGTAACTCGAAATGGTTGTAAGTCAAAGCACCATTCCCCATAGGAATGCATTGGGACACAATTAATCCATTCCGGCCAAAAAAAAATTACCACCCCCCCATCACACAGCAAGCCCCATTGGAAGGCGCTTCGGCTTTAAAAAACCAAAACCAAAAATAAACTACACAGCAGGCCCCATCGGAAGGTGCTGGGGCTTAAAAAACAAACACACCAAAACACACACAAAAAAATCACAGCATAGAAACATAACCCCCCAATTTTGTGGCTGGAGCTGGACATAACTCGAAATGGTCGTAAGTCGGGACATTCATAAGTCGAGGCACCACTGTATATGTGTGTGGCTACACTCTGCCCAGAATTTCCCTTACTGTCAATTCCTCCAACATGTCATCTCTATTGGTTAGAATCAAGTCAAGGATAACTAGTCCTCTAGTTTCTTTCTCCACTTTTTGTAGGGGAAAATTATCAGCCACACAAGCCAGGAATTCTTTGAAAGTCCCATCTTTGGCAGAATTTGCCTCTTCAAGCAGGCCTTCCCTCCAGTCAATTAAGTGATTTTTTTCTCTCTTTTTTTGGCCATCTTGATAATGTATTGTTTGGAATTAATTGCTATAATTGTATTCTTTATGATTTTTATTGATGTGCTTTTATCTATGTAAGCTGCCCCGAGTAGTATTAATCTTCATCTATTAATACTTTCTTAAAGTTCTTTTTCATATATTCTCCAATCTATCCTATGGAAAGATTCTTACCGTATTTTTCGCACCATAAGACGCACTTTCCCCCCACAAAACAGGGGGGTGGAAAGTCTGTGCGTCTTATGGAGTGAAGAAAACATATTATATTTTCCTGTTTTCTTCTCCTAAAAAATTGGTGCATCTTATGGAAAGGTGCGTCTTATGGAGCGAAAAATACGGGGTATCTATAAGTCTTTTCAAAATTTTTGAAAAGCTTCTAGTTTCTCTTTCATTTTATTACATCTATCCCATTCTGATTTTTCATAACTCCTATATTGCTCTCTTTTTTATTATTTTATTGGGGGTGCTTTAGCCAAAAGCTTCAAGTTTTTCCCCACTAAATTCAAAATATTCCCTAAATATATTAAATCCCTTTCAAACTTTTCCATCCCTTCTAGTTCCTTTTTTTTTAGCTTATAGTTCCACAATTGTCTTCTTTTCTCTAGTTATTATAACTTCTTTTTCTAACTCCAGCATTCTTTTCCTTTGTTGGTTCTTAATCGTATGTGCCGCTTTTATGGCATAACCTCTGGCCACAGACTTCATAGCATTCCATATTATCTTAGATTTCCACCTCCTTTCATATTTATTTCCCAAGTCTCTTCTAGATTATTTTGGAACCCTTCAATGACAGTTTGATATAAATAAGGACACTGGACAGTGTCATCGTAGCGACCAACATGAATTTGTCCAAACTCCGGGAGGCAGTGGAAGACAGGAGGGCCTGGCGTGCTTTGGTCCATAGGATCATGAAGAGTCGGACATGACTAAACGACTAAACAACAAATCAATAAATATTTGTGTCTATCTTCCATCTACACACTTCTTTATAATTGTTTACCAACAATTCTATGTTTACCCTGGCTTGATCTGAGATTTGAATAACATCAATACTTGTATTATTTACCCTGGATAATAATTCTTTGGATATGAATATATAATCTATTCTTTTATGGGTTTTGTGCACCGATGAATAACAGGAATACTGTATCTTCTTTCATCCCCTTTACATTCTTTTCACACATCTTTTAAATCTGTATTTTTGATTACATTGTATAATGTAGTATTTCGTTTGTCTGCTTTCTGTACTTTTGACTTATCTTTTAAGATTCATAGTCATATTAAAATATCCTGCTAACATAACAAATCCTTTCCATATGGGTGTGAGGGTTCGATGTTTGGCTCCAAGCCAACCCCAAATAAATCACCAGACTTCCTTGGTTTCGAAATAGGGGTAACATTTATTGCGTGGTTTAACAAAAATCCTGTGTCTGCAAATGTATTCCAACCTTTCTTCCCATCAGACAACAGGTCTACCAGGGGTTTCCATTCGTCAAATTTAAAAGGGTTTCTGTTGGGCCCCGGCCATTCAGGTGGGGTACCCAGGTTTAATAATAGAGAGAGGGATAGATGGCAGTGGCCCTCAGAAACACCATCACCTGAGATCACAACACTTGGAAACACTTGGGAGCAGGATTCAACAGGTCTACGTCAAGGGCATCTGGAAGGAATGGGGTGCCCTTGCTGTTAGTTCCACAAATGTCACGTTAATGGATATCTAGTTGTCTGGGAATGGGGTGCCCTTGCTGTTAGTTCCACAAGATGTCACGTTAATGGACTTCTTAGAGAAAGGTTTTGAACTGTTGGACGTTAATGTTTCAAACCAATTTCAGAAACCAGAAGCTAACCCCTTCCTCACACCGCTGTGTGAGGAAGAGAAGTTACGTATTCCTGGCACTGTTGAAAGTTTCCTAGATTCACCTATAATAAATCCTGTTAGTACAATCCATGATCAAGAGTAGACATGAGGTACTCGTACTGTACAGTATTTGCATATGAATACCCCCCACAGGTGGACATATCGAGGGTCCACTCACTCACTGTCCGCTGCTGCCGCATGCTCTGCTCTCCCTTCCTATCGCTCTGGAGTGTCCAGTCGGCCAAGAGGCTTGTCCTCCTGCCAGGAGTGGCTAATCCACCATGAGCTCCGGAGTGATAGGAAGGGAGAGTGGAGCCCGTGACAGCCACAGAAGGTGAGTAGGCAGACTCTCGTTATGTCCACCTATGGGGGCATATTGGTATACAAACAGCCCATTCTCTAGTTGAGTCATGTGTTGCTGGGCTAGAAGTAAAAGGAAAAAACTCTTCTCAAGGTAATGAACCCTTACACATATCTGTTCAAAGGTCTCATTGTATGTGAAGTCTGCAACAAAGCATGACTTTTGGGAACCAATATATCTCATCTACTGTATTTAAGATGAGGCATGAACTCCCTGCCCTACTCACAGATACTAAACTGTAGCAGCTTAAAAGAAGGTATTCTCCCTACAGCATTAATGCACTGTGTTAAAACAAGACCCCTGCTGGATCAGGTCAAGGGCCCATCCAGTCCTACTTCCTGTATCTCACAGGGGCCCCACCAGATGCCTCTGGGAGCACCCCAGACAACTAGATATCTGTCTCCTGATCCCCCTCCCCTGCATCTGCCATTTTGAACACAGACCTTGAAAATTTAGCCAGAGGGAATTGCCCGATGAGGGGTCATTATTTGCCCCTGAAGTTAAACTCACCCAGGTTTATTTTTTTAAAGCCTTTTTTAAAGCTAGGCAGGCCACCCAGCTGAGTGGCCATTAGATAGCCTGAGCTCCCAGCTTCCATAAAAAGAAATAAATTTGGAAGTAAACAAAGAAGGCACTCAAAGACTCTCAAGTTTCGGCCTTCCAGCTTTCACAGCGAGCGCTTAGTGTGGCAATGCCTCAGACTGCCTCTCATGAATTAATATTAATGAATCAATCAATCAATCTTATACCCCACACAACTAATCTAGGTCCTTCCCAGCCTCCTCACCGTCCTCCTTCTGGCCCTGGGCTTGCTCCCATCGTCCCTCCCCAGGTCTACAAAAACCACACCAGGGTTCTCCTGTGAGGAAACCAAGGCGGGAGCCGCCGCGTCTCCCTCTTCTCTCCCAACAACTGGAGGCGGGAGAGCCGGGTTTATTGGTATTACAGCGCCACTGAGTACAATTTCCCGCGCCCCCTTCTACCCCCTCTGGCCTTGACTCCTTTCTCATTAATGCCCATCTCGTTGCGTTTAGGTGGCAGATACGAAGGAGCCCGTCGTGGGCCATCTGCCGGGTACCGTCGGGAGTCCCTCTCCTATAGGCCCCGGGCGGCCACTTTCGTTCTTCCCGTCTTCGTTCGGCCTTGCCTTCGTCCGTCGCAGTCCCTCAGCCGCTTTCGGGCCTTTCCGTGGAGGCCGTTCGGTTCTTTCCGTGTGTGGAGGGAAGGGAGGGGGTGTGCAATGGGTGAGGGAGGGGGGCAGGAGGAGGAGGAGGAGGAGAGCAGCCGCGGCATGCTCGGCGGCGCTTGCTCCCTGGTTTCCTCTCTCTCTCCCTCTCTCTCAGTCGGCCGCTGCTGCTTGCCGCCTGTCGCCGGGGCTGGGAGAGCCTGAGAGAGAGCGTGTGTGTGTTATGTGAGTGACGCGGCGGAGGTGTAGTTTGACGCGGTGTGTTACGTGGGGGAGAGAATAAAACTGCGGCGAGAGCCTAAGCGCGAACGAAAGCAGTGACGGAGCAGCCTCTAGCCGGTAAGAGGAGAAAAGCGAAGCGAGAAAGAAGGAGAAAGAAAGAAAGCAGCAGCAGACAGACAGACCAAGAGAAGAAAAACAGGGAGGGGTGGCCGGGGCAGCGGCCCAGCCAGCCCCAGCACGAGCGGCGGCGGTGGCGGTGGCTGAAGCTGAGGCGGGCTGGTTGGGCGGGCGGCGGGGGTGGGGGAGGAGGCGGTCGGGGGGG